GGGACGGGACGGGACAGACGCTCACCTCAGGGGGCGTAGCGAGCCGGAGCGAGGCACCGGGCTGGGGCCGCTCGCGCTTTTATCCTCTCGCCTCCGCCGTTTCGCTACAAAATGGCGGACAGGGTCGCGCGCTCACGTCGCGGCCTTTCCCCTCCCCCGTCCCCTCGCGGCACGCCAGCGGGGGGGGGCAGCGGGGGCGCGGGTGGGCGGGGCGCCCGTCGAAGCCTCCCTCCCCCTTGGCCTGGGGCTCTCCCAATCAGGGCGTAGGGCCGCCCGCGACCTGCCCAATCAGCGCGGCGCGACCTCTGGGGCGGACGTTTTGCCGTCCTCCCCCCCCACCCTCGCCCGGCCCTCCGCGCGGAGCCAGCGCCGCGCGTCCATTGGCCGAGAGCAGCCGGAGTCTTTCCTACCGTTCTGGCCAATCAGCGCTGGCAGGCCTCTCTGACTACGCATGCGCATCAGCGGCCAACCCGGGTTGGGAAGGCCGACCAATGAGCGCGGGGCGCTGCGCTGGGGCGGGGCGGGAAGGGGAAGTGGCGGGGAGAGCCAAAGGGCGCGTGGAGTCATGGGGGGGGTGGGGGTGCTCCTACCCGACAGGTGCGCTCCGCCCCGTCCCCCCGCCCCGCCCTCCTCCCCCCGGGCGGTGGTACGGCCCCAGGCACTGCACTCCCCCCCTCCCCCCCGCGCAGCGTCGTGGTAGGGGCCCAGGTACTGGAGCGCCTCCCCCCGCGCTGCCTTGGTACGGCCCGGAGCGCGGCCTGTGGCCCGGCTGCTTCACCCCCCCGCCCTGCAGTGCGGTGGTACGGCCCCAGGCGCTGCATCCCCACAACATGGCGGCGCGGGGCTGGCGCAGTGTTTCCCTGCACTGTAGGGCCGCAGCCTCCCCCCAAGCCGCTGCAGGGACCGTTTTGCCCCGAAATCTCCCCTCCATTTGCACGCTCCGGGCTCGCCGGCCTCGGTCCTGGAGGGGAAGCTCACCGGCCCCCTCAGCCCCCCAGAGCCGGCGTCACCACCCGTGTCCCGAAACCCCAGAACGGCCCCTTCCCACCGGCCTTCCAGCCCTGGGGGACAACACCGGGATGAGGACCCCCAGGATTCCCCCGACAGCTCCCGGCTCCGGGTACGAGGGTACCCACCCCAGGGTGCGAAGGCCTGAGGAAGGCGATGGGGCCTCACCTCTGGCAGGGGACCCGCCGCCATGGGGTTGGCACTGGAAGCCACCCGTGGCCCCGTGCCGTCCACCCCAAAGCTCAGAGAGCTGGGGTGGCGTTTTGGGACAAGGACTTCATCCCCCCCCATCCCACCCAGGAGTATCTCCTTCCCCCCGGCCCCACAGAAAACACCTCATGCCCACCTGCTGCACGCACCACAACGTCACTTTTATTGAGTCGAGGTCCCTCCGCTTTCTGCACGTAGAAAATACATTTAAAAAGGCCGGTGTTTGTAAACAGTCAGGGGAACGGTAAGGCAAACAGAGAAACGGTTGCAGCACCTCCGTACCCCCCTGCCCTCAGCCATGCGGACACCCTGGGGGGCATTGAGGGAGCATAGTGGCTCCTTGGGTGACAACCAAAGACATGGGACACTGTGTCTGCCTCCACTTCAGCCATGGGACCGCCTCATGCCCAGCACACCTTTGGGAAAGCCAAAGCCACAAAACCCACCAGGCACCAAACCCTTCTCCATCTTGATGGGGGATGGCCACTGAAAGGCATCGCGGCATTGGCATCTGCTGAGACTCCAGCATCTCTGCTGGGCTCCATGGGAGGTGGCTCGGTGCTCCCCACATCCAGGAGGAGCAATCTGCAGGGTGGGGTGGCGGTGGGGTGGGCACCCTCTTCTTTATGCCAAGGGTTTCCCCAAGGCCCAGCGCCTGCTCTCAGGCAGGAGCCGGGCAAAGGGCCTTGAGAGGCAGCCAGTGCTGTACAAATGGGGGGTTTGCTGGAGCCAGGTTTTGTCAAAAGTTGAGGGCATGGAGGTTGGAGGTACCTTGGGGGAAGCAGAAGGGACTCATGCCTTCAAAGGTTCCCTCAAACATTCATGCTGTGCTTGGGGCTTTTCTTCCTCCTTCTCCATCTGGGTTCTCCTCATTGCATCCCGAGGAGTGGCAGTGAGGTCCCCATTTACACACCCCAGGCATTGGTAGGGAAACACCAAACGTTTCCACGTGGAGAAGCACCCACATGCTGTCCTCCCACCCACCGCCACTGGTCACAGAGGGAGAGAGCCATGGTGAGAAGTACAGAAGCACACCATGGTTCACCTTCCCACCACAACAGCCTGGGCTTTTTCCAGAAGGTGCAGGAGGGGCAAAGCCCAGTGGTGCACAAAGCTGGGCTGGACCCTCAGCACAGATGCAGCGATAGATACACACAAATTCCTCCCTCCCTCCCCCAGGGTTTTAGAAGCCAAACAAGGAACAAGAGAACTCAAGGACTGAACAAGAGCAGTTTGCTGTTAAGTTTAACACCCTCAACCAAATCTGCAGCTGGGGCAACTGCTCAACTCAGAGAAAGAAAAAATGAAACTATCATCCAGACAGGCAACGGAGGGACTGGCCAGAGCAACACCAGCCACAGAGAGTGTAAACAACCAAGGGTACAATATAAACCAGATTAATACTGACTGCTTCATCCCCAAAGCATCCCTTAAAACCTACACCTGGCCCAATCCCATTCCCTGGACACCTCCTGGAAGAACAGGATTGGAAACTGGCAGAAGAGCTTTGCTCTAGCATAGTGTCTCCAGTAGGTCGATGCAGCCACAGCACCTTCTTTAGTGAGTGAGCAACCCCTGGCAGGGGAAACATTGCCCTGGTCTGTCCCTACCCCGGGCTCCTCCTGACTGATCAGGCTGAAGATGACGGTCCCACTTTGTAACAGAAAGTGCAGCCCAGGCGGAGGGAGATGTAAGAGTAAGGGTAGGAGACCTGTGAGATGGGCCACGGGAAAGCGGAGTTCAAACCGAACCAAATACTAACACAGAAGAGGACTAGGGGGTTGTCACCCTGTCTGATAAACATGATTCCCATTATGCAAGATGCACTGTCTCCCTCCAACGTTGGGAGAAGAAGTTTAAGCTGCGGAAAGGAGCTCCACCAGCACAGGGGTAGACGGATCAGGGCAGTATGCCTTCGCAAACCCCAACTGCAACCCCTTAGTGATGTCTAAGGTAGTGATGTCTACCCTGGCAGGGCAGAAAGGGCTTGACCTGGACTACAGGTCCCCTTGCAGTGATGCTCTGGCTTCACCAGGGAGTCAGGGCTGAGAGGAGAAGCCTGACTGCCTGGTGCATTAAGACAACGAGATACAAACCACCACAGGGCTCTTTCAGCCAAGCCCCAGATTACAACGCTCCTTTTGGATCTTCCCAACACGTCAACGTGTTTTCTCCCCACTTCCCTTTGGTCCTAGAGGAAAACTGCATCCCCTCAGCAGCAGCAGTGCAGTCCAGCCTGGAGGAGGAGTCAGGCTGTGAGATCCACGAAGATGGCGTTGGCAGTGGTCTGTCCAAAGATGAAGGCTCCGAGGGTGACCATGAACACCCCATAGCTGACCTGGGCCCACCAGCTGCAGATGCAGGAGGACAGGGCACATTTAGAGGGGACCTTCACCCCAATATCCACAGGGGAAGCAGGGAGAGAGGAAGCATGTTTCAGTTACCTGATTGCCCTGGTTTCCTGGATCTCAGAGAGCTTGGCTTGAATCAAGCAGAGCCCTGAAAGGCAGGGGAGGCAAATTAGACCCAGATGAGGACTGTCGCCCGGGGACTGAGCAGACACCCCACAAGCCAGGGAACTGCATTCCCCGTTACAGAGCATGGAGTCCAGTCAAAACAGTTGGGCTGCTGACCGACCTCACACTACATTTTCGTCCTTCTCTAAAGACCTCCCGGTTCCTGCGTCTCCATCCTGCTCCCTCCCTCTTCAAGACACAAGGCCAAGAGACCTCCGCTGGCCCCTAAGCATCCCAGGATGCCCTACCTGGGAAGACGAAGATGAAGCAAGCGGCCAAGCCCCCAATGACAGAGATGACTTTGCCAATGTCGGGGATGAAGAGAGCCAGGAGGAGGGTCAGGAGGAACCAGCTGATAGTCTGAAGCAGGCGCCTCCTCCGCTCCCGAACCACGTCCTCCTCCACCGTCACCCCAGTGTAGCGGAGCCAGAGACCCTCCAAGACAGCCCTGCGTGCACAGACGCAGGGCAGAGGGATTTCCCCACACTGCCCCTCCTGCCCATACCAGCCCACCTTCTCCCAATGCTCACCGGCCGCAGAAGTGCAGGATAGGGTAGGATGTCAGCACGCAGAGGATGATGAAGGCCCGGGCAAGGGCAACGGGGATGTCATTGGAGGGGTAGGAGAGCAAGACGTCCTGCTCCACACCAGCCCCAAAAGTCAGGAAGCCGCAGACGCCTGCCGGGAAGGGAGCAGTCAGTGGGGGATGGGGACAAGCCTCCTGCACTTGTGTTTGAGGGACCAGACTTGGATGGATATGGCACCGGGCACATCATAGGGGGCTTAAATGGACTCCCCTCTCCTTCTGCTCTGTTCCTCTGCTGACCAGAGGGTCCCTGCCCTCCAGAAGCTCACCGCCCCTCTGAGGACCATGCCACACTCACACGGCCTCCCCTTGCTCACCAGTGCCCGTGTAGACGAAGAGAGCGATCACCATGGCCGCTGTCACCACTGCTCCCCAGGTCTTCACCTCTGGCTGCTTCATGCTGTTAAAGACGGGCACGCTGCTCACGTGGCACTGCCAGGGACACGGAGAGAGAGCGGGGACATGCGATGAGCTGAGCTGGAGTCACGGGGAGCCAAGCCGGATCCCACTCGTGAAATCCCCGGGTTTGTTGTGATATCATGATCCCCCCAGGTTTGTTGCTGGAGAAGAAAACCCAGAGGACAGGCTGCCCTGGACTTCTCAGCTGGGGTAAAACTGATCCATCTCTATCCAGGGGTGGCGAGATATTAAACTGGCTTCAGCCCCCTTGCAAAGCCGTGTGGTGAGCACATGGGAAGGGTTTTGGCTGATCGTCCAGGGGAGTATTCCTGGACCACGCCGGTCCCCCACCCAGGTGGCTGCAGGGTGGGAAGGGGAGCGCCAGGCTCGTGGCCTTACCTGGAACCCAAAGCAGATGGTGGGCATGGCATTGAAGACGGCTGTCCAGGTGGAGGGGCTGGTGGGAGAGAAATACCCACTGGTCAGTCCAGTGCGCCCTGTGCCCCCCACCCAGCACCCTGGGGGAGGATGAGCTGGGGGTGCTCAGGATGGGCTCACTCCTCTGCTGTTACCGCGTCCTCCCACCCAGGACAATGCCTTCACACAGAGCGAGGTTTTCCTGGGACATGGCACTCCCTGATGACCACGGCCTTTCACTGAGACAGAACCAGCCAAAGTCGAAGACTTACAGAAATAAAAACATCAGTAAAAAATAAGAATCTACTTGGGCAGTGCCAAAAACTGGTCTAAACTTTGCTCTGCCCTAAAATTCCCACTGCCTATGCTGGGTTCATAAATGTCCCCAAACCATGAGGGAGGGGACAAGCCACAGGGGCTGTGCTGGCCAAGAAAATAACCAAAATCATCCTAAAATAGACACAGCCCTGGTTGCTGGGTGAGCACAAGCACTGCATGGGGAGTTCTGGGCCTGGCAGTATCAGAGCTAAAAGTCAGTCGGCCCTCCTCAAAACCTGTGATGGAGCCGTGGGGACCTCCAAGAGTCTTTTTCCTCTCCTTCACCACCTGCTTCTCTGAAACATGCAGAGATGCAGCCACTTGGGAGCTTCTGGCAGCAACATGCAGCATCCCCAGACCCAGGGATGGGACTCGGGAAGGATTTGTCCCCAGCCTTTGCAGCCCTGGCTCCTGCACCCCTGCCTGGCTCTGCAGTGCTGTGATGGCCACTGTCAGCATCATGTCTATTGTACTCACCTGGTGGGGATCTCCACAGGCACCAGCTCCTTGTCAGGCCAGATGTACTTGATGATAATGACTGCCGTGACGTACCAGGTGCCAATCACGCTTAGGGAGCTGCAAGAGGGGACAGGAGACCATCAGCATGCTGCCTGCCTGCTCTGTGGAAGGTCTCCTGCCAGGCTCATCAGACCCATCTTCCTCCCTGCACAGCCCAGGCCAGCCCACTCCTCCCCACCAGGACCACCCCTGCTCTCCCTTCCCACGGGAATAGGCCAGGCACTGTCACCCACTGTCCCCAGAGCAGATGCCAACGCAATCCTGCTGTGCTTGGGGGCCGTCCTGTGCTGTTGTGAGTGGCAGACCTGCCAGCAAGGGGATGGACTGGGTTTTGGGCAGGAGAAAGAGGCAAGTGTTAAAGAAGTAACACTCTTCGGTAGCCCTGGTCCAGCTCCAGCAGCTAGGTTACACCAAGATGCTTGGTGGAACAGGGCTGGCCTGCACACCACCTGGCCCAGGGACCCTTACTGGCTCTCCTTGCTGCTGGATGGCCAACCGAAAGACAGGGAACAATGCAGTTGAAAGCAGCTCTCCCCACTTCCTCCAGCAAGCAGAAGGGAGGGACACAAGCCCTGGAGTAGGACACTATGGCTGCGTGGTGCTCAGCAGCTCCTCTGCTTCCCAGATGGGGAAACCAAGGCACAGGAAGGTGGAAGAGGAGATATCCAACGCCTCAGGGGCGAGCGGGCAGATACGGCACTAGAACCATGGCATTTCCACTCCCCGTCCCCTGTGACTGTGCTTAGGTGTGTGCTGGCTGGCCCACCCCAGCTCCCAGCCCTGGAGGGCTCTCCTCACCCACCTGGCATATTTTTGGAAGCCGATCTCTTTGGGGATGGAGAGGGGCAGGATGAGAAGGAAGGCAGTGATGCTGATGGTGAACTTGCGGTCCATGTACCAGCGGCTGCTCCCAGCTTCCTCAGGCTCCGTCACCAGAGCAGCAATGACTGTGGGGACAACCAGGGCGGTCAGGTTGTCCCTTTCCAGCTGAAGGGACAGCAGCTGGTTATATTTTCCCCCATGGGACACACTTACTCTTGTCCTCCTGGTCTCCGATGATGATGAGGAAAGCAATGCAGGTGCCAAAGGTGTAGACAGCGATGGCCACCTCGCACAGCACGCCAGGCACCTTCCCGCAGACTGCCCACACAACCTCCTGATAGGTCCGCTCATTGCTGGCCTGTGAGCAGTACGCCAGGATGACCAAGCCTCCGATGATGAAGATCAACATGCACTGGGGTGGGGAAGAGACAGGGAGGAGACACTAAGGCAACAGCATGACGAGGTCCACAAAGCCACCCCGGGCAGCCACCCCAAACACACTGAGCATCTCTGGTGCACCTCACCCAACAGGGCTTCTTCCCAGGAGCCAGGTCCTACCTGAGCCCCTTCTGGGGCTCCACATGTCCCCCCTACGCCTCCTCCCAGGGTGGGAGAGGGGACTGTCCCTTCCCCACCCTCTCACCATCTGCAGTGCGATGCCCGCGGCCACGCCGCCAGCCATGCTGAAAGCGGCGGGGAAGTTGAGCAGCCCAGCCCCAAGGGCAGCGTTGACCACAATGAAGACGGCTCCCAAAGCTGACGTGGCCCCCAGACCATTTCCTTGACTCTCTCCGCTCTTCGGCACCGTCTCCACGCTGGGGCTCTGCAGGAGCCTGGCTCGTTCCCCAGCATCGGCGCTCCACTCCCAATCCTTGTAGTCACTGTTGATGCTCCCGGTGCCCTGAGCCATTGTCCCTCCTAGGGTGGCACACGCCACCATCCACGTCCCACTAGCGCTCCTGGACTGGGCTCAGCCGGCCACCTTGAGGAGGGTCCTCTGCCAGTGCTTGCTCCATCAGGCAGGGAGGGCAGCGAACAGGCAGGCTGGGACTGCAGCAGCACGGGGGTCAGGCACTTCACTGCTCCTACAAGGAGATGAAGAAGGGACATGGTAAGTGTTAATTAAGGTACATTAACAAGGGACAGCCTAGGCATCAGACAGGGGCACAGCGGAAATGAGGTCCCTGGGTCTCAGCTTGGGGGTCACAGCACGCAGGCATCCTCACACCAGCAGAGATATGGCAGGAGAACTCACCTCTCATCCCCCAAATCCAGGGTGAGGACACTGCTGCTGTCGGGTGGGGGACTGAGCCCCAGCTGCAGGGCTGGGGAGCTGCAGCCTCATGGCAGGACTCGCCTTTCTGCAGGCACGAGACCCAGCGTCACAGCTTGCTTCCTGATTTCCAACCCCAATTCCTGTAAGCTCTGCAATAGCCGCTGTGCACGTGCTCCCGAGTAAAGGTCAAGGCTGGGCTCAACAGGAACGATCCATGCACGCAGCAGAAACACCGTGTCATCAGGAAAAGCAGGACTGTCCCCTTCCACTGCACCCCCAGGGTAACCACCAGCATGAGGTGTCTCAGAAGCTTTTGGACCTGAAGATCTGGTGTTTCCAGCACTGCAGCCCTTGGGGGTTGGACAGCCCAGATCTCATCCCAGTGCCTCAGAGCAGAAGGAGACCAACCCTCACAACCTGGCAGAGCTTTGCAGGGACCTACACAGCCAAGGGAAATATCTTTTTTTTTCCTAGACGATGTCTCCGGAGACTCTTCCTGACCAGCCCACCCTTTGCTTCTAGGCTATTTAAACCCCATGCTCGTGCTATGAATCCTCTTCAGGGATTTCTGGGGAAGGGGAAAAAACTCCGCAGGTCCGCGCAGGGTAAGAAGAAAGGCAGCCCTCTCCCCCGGGGGTAGGAGTGCGGAGGGGACAGGTCCCAGGTCCCCAGGCCGGTGGGTCTGCTGGCGGCCGCGGGTCCCCTTTGGCTGAAGTCCCCACCCGGACGAGTCGATGCTTCTCCCATGGCCGGAGGAGGATGCTGGAGGAGCGTCCGGCTGTCCTTTCACCCCAGGCAAAGCCACCGCGCCGGTGACAACCACAGACCCTGAGAGCAGACGCTTCTCCGAGGGTGACTCGACAGACCCACGGACCCCCACTCCAAGAGAAGCAAGGCCCGGTGCTGCTGAGGGTCACCCCGCCTTTGCAGGGGATGCCCTGGGGGACGCGACGCGGCCCCAGCGGGTC